GAGACAGGTAGTCAAGAATTCTCACAATTATTTTCTTTAACATAATTTTTAGAAATCGAAGTAGGCGATCTTATGTATGATAAGAGTATTAGGATGAATAGGAGTGAATTGTCTGCTCTACCCAAGCTTTATTTATTTTACCTCAGTTAGTTTCCATCATTATTATCTCCATTTTATCACAAATACCATTCTTTTTAAAAAAATATATTTTATTGAGCTTTTACAGAGAAGAAGAGAGAGGGATAGAAAGCTAGAAACATCTATGAGAGAGAAATATCGATCAGCTGCCTCTTGCACACCCGCCACTGGGGATATGCCCACAATCAAGGTACATGCCCTTGACTGGAATCGAACCCAGGGCCTTTCAGTTCACAGGCTGATGCTCTATCCACTGAGCCAAACCAGTTTCAGCACAAGTACCATTCTTATCCTCACTTTTTTTTTTTTCAGAAGAGCAATCAAGGGTTAGAGAAGTGGACCTACTTCTTTAATGTCATGCAAGAGTATTAGTCACACTCTATCTCTGTTTCATTCTGACAGCCGCACTCCCAGGTTATGGCTGGGCTGCCATGGTAGGTTAGACATTGGATGGGACTCACAGAAAGAAGCTTCTTGGAGAAAGGGGGTCCTGAGTTGCAGGGCAGAAGAGAAAAAAGATGTGGCTTGATGACCTGTTGTTAGTTAGGTCTAGCCTCTCAAAATGAGGCATTGGGAGGTCTGGAAGCAGGGACAGGGCTTAGCTGAAGTGGAAGACACAGGAAAATGAGTAGCCTAGAGGGTAGAATAAGGTGAACTAAGAGAGGAATCTGAAATATTCAAGAGGAGGATGTTTGAGTTTGGAGCTGGACCAAGTGATGAGGCTAAAGACAGGCCTGTGGATGTTTCAACACAGCAGGAGAGTAAACAGAGACTTGAGATCCAGAGAACAATATGAGGTTAGAGAGTGGAGGAAGCCGACTAGACTGGTTAGTTGGTAAAGATCAATTGGTATATTAAAGCTTCTGGAAAGGAAATATACCTGTTTGATTCATAAAGACAGCAGTGTTTTTACAGTAAATAAAATGAAATCCTTGAGAGAAATGATGAGTTTGGCCCTGGCTAGTGTGGCTTAGTTGGTTAAGTGTAGTCCCATGCACCTAAAGGTTGCTGGTTTGATTGCCACTCAGGGCACATGCCCAGGTTTGGGGCTTGATCCCCCAGTAGGGGGTGGTGGGGGCATGCAGAAGGCTCAATGTTTTGCTTTCACATTGATGTTTTTCCCCCTCCCTTCTTCTCTCTTTAAAAATCAATTTTAAAAAATTTTAAAGAAAAAAGAAATGATGAGTTTGTAGAGAAGAGTCCCACTTTAATGTTCACTCAAATGGTTTGCCATAGTTCAACCTGTATATTTTTTACTTTTTATTCATGTATCATTATTTTATTTAACAAGTATCTGTGGAGGGTCCACTATGTGTCAAGCTCTCTGTGGACACTGGAATTTCCACAACATACATCAAAACTATAATGATATGGATGAAGCAAAAAGTTATGTCTTGGATTCCAGTGAGTATGAAGAAAAGTTCATGATCATTGAATCAATGATGGAGCATACCATGCCGAATTTAAGTGCTTTTGAGAATGAGATGGAATCAGTTCTCTGTGGCTATCATAATGTAAGTGAAGTGTTGATTGTGTTGAGTAAAATGGAAACAGACAAGCCTGTGCTTTGAAAGAAAACAGAATTAGGACATATGGATGAGGCTTATACTGATCATAATCATTCCCATTTGGGAACCCTGTGCTTCTTGATAGCCTTAGATGCTTTACTTATTCACCCGTCTGCACTACAGCATCCTAAGGAAGTGATTATTACCCTCATCCATTTGCCTGAGACAGAGGGGTTTTCCCATGCATGGGGCTTTTAGTGTTAAAACTTGAGGAGTCCCAAGCACACTGGAGTGGTTGATCACCTCAAAGGAAGCCAAGGATCCCAATGTCACAAGTCAAGGACAGAATCTTAACTCACACCCAAGATTTCCCGATGGCAATCCTGTGTTTTTCCATTATACTACATGGACTCAACCTTTGGAAATCTGAACTTCCCAATATCTGATCACATACTTTCTATAAACCAAAACAAGAAGGATTTTATTTTTCTTGAAATTTTGTTTGAAACATTTTCTTTCATGGAGCAAATAACTTCCATGCTTGCCCCTCTCCCCACAGGTTCTTTATTACCTACACCTATGTGTGATTAGGCAGATTCTTTGACTTACATCCCCCTTGAACACAGAAGAAACAATTTTGTAGTAAACTTTTTGTGTTTTTTTTTTTCTCCAGTAATTCAGTAATAATCCCAAAGGTGAGCAGTAGGAAAGAACTCCAACCGAGGTTGTGTCTACAAGAGACTAACATCTGGAAGAAAATAAAATGAAAAAGCAAAGCCCAGCTGTTTTGTCCATAAGCCAAATACGCTGATACTTGTGGACATCTGGAGAGTTGATTGAACTTTCTGATTTTCGTACAGATGTTCAGTGCTATACAGCACAGCCGTAAGTACACATGGGAAGATACGCCTAATGGTATTTCACTACGTAATCGCCTCAGGGAACCCCTTTGTAATGCTCCTGTCTGTGGGCAGGATGAAGACTTGCCCTATTGGCTTATACTATTATAGCCATTGCATTTTATAGCATATGGTTATTATGTGCCAGGACATACATTTTAACCCAGATACCCTTACCATGATGTAGATATTAGCAATTTTGAATTTAGCTACTTTATAGCCCTTTTCTTTTTAAGTTCTCATTGGTTGGATTTAAGCAGGAAGAGTAGGGGCAAAGGAGGGACATTTGCTGAATTGCCCAAGCTTTCTTCAATAACTAAACAAGTGTATTTAAAACTTATTTTAAAAAAATGATTCAAATAATCCTACTTTGAAAATGATGTCACATGCTAACCAAAGACAGTTCCAGAGCTCGATTCGCTCTGCCACCCGCACACTCCCTGTCTGAGGATTGTGTAAAGCAGCTGCAGTAGCTGCATTTTGCCAAGTAAACAAACTCTACATGGTGCAACAGTGCAAACATCTTGTTGTTTGCCAATGTGCTGGTGGTTAGAAGCTGCTTAAAAATCCTAATTAAACATTTTCATATAATGCAGACGTGGTGGTGGAGGGTGTGCAGCCATACTTGAAGACACACACACACACACACACACACACACACACACACACACACTACACTTACATACTTTGCCTGGTTCATAGTAGTCACTCACTCAGTGCTTTGTAAAGGCACGAAAAATAACATAAAGTCTTCACTGATGACTTACCATGCACTGGACACTGGGTTAAACATTTAAAGTGTGCCCTGGCCAATTTGGCTCTGTGGATAGAGCTTTGGCCTGAGGACTGAAGGGTCCAAGGGCATATGCTTAGGTTGCAGGCTCATTCCCCAGTGGGGTGTGCAGGAGGCAGCCGATTCATGATTCTTTCTCATCATTGATGTTTCTATCTCTCTCTCCCTCTTCCTTCCTCTCTGAAATCAATAAAAATATATATATATATTTTTAAAAAGACCCAAACATTTAAAGTGTATAGTATTGCTTCATGTACAAAATCACCCTCTGGGGTGGTTTTATTATTCCCAGTTTACATATAAGTAAACTGAGATGCAGAAATGTTAAGGAAAGGAAGTGACTCATTCCGGGTCATATCAATCTAGTATATGGCAGAATTGGCTTTTGAACTCAGGTTTGTCTGACCCCCATAACCCATCCCATTAACCATTCCTCTCTGCTGCCTCTTTTCAAAGTATCTGATGAGAGAAACCTAGCTCTGACAAGGCCCCCGAGACTGGTTTAAGACCCCCGTCAAACACGGACATGCACAGATCATTTTTTGTCTATTTCATTAAAAACCAATTTGGCAGTGTGGCGCTGGCTCCAGCACACAGATGGAAAAAGTACACATTTGTTACACAAACCCTACTTGCACGCATACAAAATGATTCAGTCAGTGGGTTCACAAAGGTTGTCTTAAGCCAAATGACACCTGTAAAGGAAAGTTATGTGGCTGCTCTTTCCTTTTAAAGCTGAACTTCTTACTTGCTGGCCTGGTCTGTTGCAAACACTGATGTGTCATAAAAAATACATTGCCTTATAAATCACATCTCTCCTGTAGGAGATTACAACATTTTTTTACAGCCCATCTGAACCTCTTGAAGCTTTGTTTCCTCAAACCTGTTCCTGTTACAAGGAGATGAGATTTTTACTTCAAAGGAAGCTGTTATGAAATCTACACTTGCAGAAAACAAAACTACCTCTTGAAGACTTTTTAATGGTTGGTCCCTCACTCACTTTCGCAACTGCCACTGAAAAAATGCTCAATACACATAAGAAAAGGATCTGCCCTGTGTGATTTTCCTACCACTAATGCCAACAAGGTATGCAAACAAATTGCAAAAATAGCGCATCAGCCCTTTGATCTCCAGTCTTATCTTTTCACACTGGAACGTACTGGAATTTGCTTCCTAGAAAAACCACAGGATTTATTGCACTGAACATGTAACACATTAAAACATGCATTATACATACCCACAGAGACAGGGGCTTTAGACAAAATGGCTGCATTTTTCAATGTGAAAATTTTAAAGGGAGAAAAACAATGCTACTTACTATTTAATGGAATAATCAGGTGGTATTGTTACGTTGTTCTTGCTTTCTTTAAAAAAGACCATTAATCAAATACCACGGGAAAGACTATGTTTACCTCCCAACATCATGGCGCCTTTCATTTGCATGGCCATTTATCACTCCCAAAGTGCTATCACATTTAATGTATAATTGGGTGATATCATTTGAACACCTGAAATTATACCCCGGGTACAGTCTTCCAAACTGTTTTCTGAAGACTAAATACAAGGTAGATACCCTTGTCTGGCTCTGTCATTACTAAAACGGTAACATAAGACAACACGGTTCTGGTTGTAAAGAGATTTCAGACAAAGAACCACAAAGATGAAAAACAGAATCCCCTCTCGCCCGCTGTGAAACCGCAATGCCATCTACAAGAGGGGCTTTTGTGACAGGGTTTCCCCCACTGCAGGGACCACAATCTCACAGTCCGCCCTTGCAAGATGAAGTGCTTCACCTTGAGGGTTGTTGTTTTTTGTTTTTTTTTCCTTTCTTTTATGGTTGCTTCTAACTGGTGCCTCACCTTAGATATAAAGTATCCCCGCGGAGAGATGAGCTAATGTGTGTGAGAAGGAGCCTCTACTGGGAACTTCCATGAAAGAGAAGCACAAGCAGGGAATACCACGGTGGATGCAAAACAGAGCAGCAGAGTTGAAAGAACATGGACTTTGAACTCAAAACGTCTTTGATTAAAATCCGGGCTCTTCTGTTTACTAACTCGAAAGCCTCGAGCAGCTCCTGGAACCTCTCTCTGGCCTCTGCTTTTTCTCCTCCGGGGAGGTGAGAATATCTTTTCTTCATAGGATGATTGTGAACATCAACTGTATTATTCAATGCAAAAAGTGAGTTGTTCCCAAAATATCTAATAGTAAATAAGAGAATTCATTGCCTGTTTATTATTAGATCTGTGTCCTTGTTATTGCAATGTCCAGGCAGAAAGCCAGAAGGGTGTGGACCAAGGCATGTATCTTAGTGGAATGAAGAGGAGGGAAGAGCTTCAGCCAGCATGGTTTCTTGGATTGCGGCTTGGACATCTACATGATGTTGATGATATGATTGATATTCAACAAAATCAGAAATAGAGAGTGTGAAGGAGAGAAAATGAGAAAGGTGGTGTGTGTGTGAGTGGCGGGGGGGGGGGGGGGGCAGATTACAATTACATAACACATTTGTCTTGTTCAACTCTGAATCTTCAGCTTTAAATAAGGTCCCTGTACACAGTAGGCAACGTAATACATGTTGAATTAATAGGTGAATGAATGAGTGATAGGTCACCCAGCCTATCTCTGTTCCCATATTTGAATTAGATACATGATAAAATAAATATATTCCAGAGAATATTCTTATCAAAAGTATGTAAATATCTACCGTGGCATTGACACCTTTTATCAAGGGCAACAACAAAAGACTTGTGTAGCATTTTGTATGAAATGGACTGAGAAGAAAACATACATACAGCAGGGCAACATTACCCAGATAGATTAGGAAATTGATCTTTTCCAGGTGTAATATGTGCCGTGGTCGGCAAACTGCAGCTCATGAGCCACATGCGTCTCTTAGCCCTTTGAGTGTGGCTCTTCCACAAAATACCACAGCCTGGGCAAGTCTATTTTGAAGAAGTGGCGTTAGAATAAGTTTAAAAATTTTTGGCTCTCAAAAGAAATTTCAATCGTTGCACTGTTGATATTTGGCTCTGTTGACTAGTGAGTTTGCCAACTAGGGAGTTAAAAGCCTTACTTTTTTACATTTCATGTCCCTATTTGTCTAAGAAGTCACTGGTTTCTGGAAGAGGGGAGGTAGGCGTGGGGGGGGGGGGAAGAGAGAGAGAGAGAGAGAGAGAGAGAGAGAGAGAGAGAGAGGAAAGAAACATCAATGTGAGACATATCAATTGGCTGACCAGAGCCAGAAATCGAGCCTGCAACCCAGACAGGTGCCCTTGACAGGAATCGAACCCATAACCCTTTGGTCCAAGGGCTGACACTCTAACCACTGAGCAAACCGGCCAGGATTCTGGTAGGGATTTTTTTCAACTAAGTCAATAGTGAGTTCCTTCTAACCACTGAGCAGACCGGCCAGGATTCTGGTAGGGATTTTTTTCAACTAAGTCAATAGTGAGCTCCTTCATCTTTACTTGGAGACTCACAGATGACACAGAACTGTCTTTAGGTAGAATTATTCTCTTGGGTCAGGGGTCAAGTCAGTATGGCCATGTGGTAAAAAAGAAAGAAAGGAAGGAAGGAAGGAATGAAGGGAAGGAGGGAGGGAGGAAAGGAGGAAGGAAAACGTATTCAACAAGGGGTGGCTTGGACCCTTACTTGGAAAGTTCTTTATTTTCATATGACTTAGTATTAGGTAGCTACTTCCAGATGTCCTTAAAGATCCTTATTCCTAGAGCGATCTCCATTCCCATTTTGTGCTCCATTTGACTTTCCTTTAAGAGAGCCTGGCCTTCCCTGCCACTGGAGGCAAGCAGATCACCTATCTGCTATTGAAATAGCACAGCAGTTTTTCCAGGAACATTGGGCTCTAGGAGGCAAGTTGTGAGGATAATTGCCTATTTTCATTTGTTATTTCCTTGTGAAAGCAGCTCAAATGCGATAGCGAGGGGGCCACAGCCAACAGCTGCCTTGTCTCAGTGAGGAAATGAGAAAGAGGGCTTTTCAGTACTCGACCCAGTTCAACAGTTTTTTAAGCTTACTGATGGGATGAAGTTTATCATTGTAAAACGGAAATAAATCATGGGTTTTTTTTTTTTTGTTTTTTTTTTTTTTTTGTGTGTGTGTGTGTGTGTGTGTGTGTGTGTGTGTTTTGAAGTGAAATTTATTATTTTAAAATAAGGACTATGGTCTTTGGGAATAGGATGCTTTGAATCAATCTAACATTTTTTTTTTCAAGTAAGCATTAACACATGGAGAAATGAGACCTTTAAAAGACAATGCTAACACACACAAGAGCCTTTTGTTATATGCATGAATTAGCCAAATACAGTTCAAAAGTAGCAAGTTCTGCTTCTTGGAAAACAGCAATTTCTTCTTAATAGGGAAGCCATACAATTTCCTGAATTCTGCCCTCTGCTAGTTACCTGTAGCAATAGAAGCAGGATATACTCACATGCTTTACAGGGCAAGATTGGGCCACGTCACGTGTGGATGGTGCCTGTTACCAGGAGTGAGATGGCAAAAACATTTACTAGAAATGGCCATGGAGTTCTTGAAAAGACTTGAAACAAATAGTATCACTCCATGAAGCCACCATGGGCTCCAGCAGTCCTGCAGGGGGTGGACTTAAGTGACCTAAATAAAAGTATATCTGTCTGTGAATTTAATTTTATCCCTGCTCTTCCGGGTGGGATAAACACCCTTGTGATTATCTTCACCTTAACATCCCCTTGTGAGCTCTTTTTTAAAAAAATATATATTTTTTCATTTATTTCAGAGAGGAAGGGAGAGGGAGATAGAAACATCAATGATGAGAGAGAAGCATTGCTCAGCTGCCTCCTGCATGCCCCACACTGGGGATCCAGCCCGCAATCTGGGCATGTGCCCTAACCAGGAATCAAACTGTGACCTCCATGATTCATAGGTTGATGCACAACCACTGAATCATACTGGCGGGTGCCCTTGTGAGCTCTTACTTTCTTCCAATTCATTCATATACTCTCCTCTTTCCTCTTCCTTGCTTCCTCCTTTTCTTTTCTCAGTATAGTGGGCTCAAGGAATGGGGAGAAGGAATACAATTCCACAATGGGCATCATCTCCCCATCTGCTGTCCTCAGTCCTAAGAGGGATTCAGTGTGACTGGTTCCTCCATCCAGGCTGCTATTAATATATCTCTGCTTAGGACAGGAATTTTGTTCAGATCAGGGCTCTAGCAAAAGACTCTTCCAGTAGAAGAAAACAACTCATACCAATGCACAGGGGAGGCAGTATGGGAAGAAAGAGGCCCCGTTTTCATGGCCACAAACTCTGAACTGGTGAGCTAGAACTGAAAGAGAACCCAGAGAAATGCCCAATGTATCACTGTATTGATTCATTCCACGAACATTTGCCAAGACTCTGGGTTAGGCACTTTGGTTGCAGAAACTCAAATCCTTCAGACTCCCTTATCATAGTTAATTGTAATTATAGTACAATGGTTGAACGTGTGTGTATGTGTGTGTGTGCGTGTGTGCGTGCGTGTGTGTGTGTGTGTGTGTGTGTGTGTGTGTGTGTTTATGGTGCTGCCAAGGTTCTATATGAGCTCACAAAAAGAACCACTAGTTTTGAGGTTGAGAAAAAGGGGTAATATTACCAAGTAGTAGACATGCAATGATGCAGCAAAATGAAAGGCCACGAAGTATTCAATAAATGAGGGAAGAATTTATGGCAGGGGGATCATAGAATTGAAGTAAGATGAGGACAATCAAGTGAAATTAATATGTCATTGGTAATCCTGATGTCCATTTCAATGGTGTAGTAGAGGCCAACTACAGTGAGACAGGAAGGAGATGATAAAGAGAATAGGTGAACAGATTAGCATTGGATCAATTAGCATTGTGTTGGATGACAGTTACCTTTTGTTAATTAAGAAGGGAGAGAAAGAGACAAAAGTCTGTATCACCACCTGTAAAACCTGTTAGGAAGTAGAGCAAGAAACTGAGTGCTGAGCAAGGGAGGGGGAACAAAGGCTTGTGGAGAGACAGAAAGTGAAATGAGCAAGAAATGACCATAAAACCCAACATCACTAGCCATCAGGAACATGCCTTTCCACCCCCAGAAAACTGGCAAAAAACAACAATGACAACAATAAGACACAAACAAACATGTATAAATCTGATCATTGCAAGTGTTGACACATGTGAAGTGGCATCTGTTACAGTCTTCTGCACACTTGCTTTGAGAGCAGTTTGGGGCTATGCAGGAAAGGTGGAAGTAGGCACAAGCTCTAACCAGAGATTGCACCTCCAGGAATGCACCATGCATTAGGGAAGATAAAACCTAAGTGGCCATCGACAGGGATCCAGGATTTAAAATGTAGTATATTTGGTGGACCACTATCCAGAAGTGAAACAGACTAAGTATACATGTACAAAAATGGAAACACATCTTTAGCATAATAGTGACAGAAGAAACGCAAGTTGGAAAATGATATGTATATGTACCCTGTTTTCCCAAAAATAAGAAGTGTCTTGTATTAATTTTTGCTCCCAAAGATGCACTAGGTCTTATTTTCAGGGGATGTCTTATTTTTCCATGAAAAAGAATATGGTATACATTTATTGTTAAATGAAAATAAAGGAAATTTATTACCTGTATACGGTACGATAGTACGGTAGTTGTCAAAACAAACCAGACAAACTGTGAATCCTACAGTATCAAGAATTTTTTCATTTATTCAATGACAATCATGTCATCATCTTCTGGAACATCATCATAGCAATCCAATTCCTGAATTTCATGGTGAATTTCTTGTGACTCCATTTCTTTCAGAATCAGTGGACCAAATCTCTCATGTATCAAGATGGAGGGAGGGGGATCAGTTAAAATGACACAGGGGGGATCAAGGGGAGAATCTAAATGGTACAGGAGAATCAGAGGGAGGATCACCATTTTAGTAACCCCTTTTGATCCTCCTGTGTCATTTTGATTGCCCCCTCTGATCCTCCTGTGTCATTTTAAGTGATCCCCCTCCCCCACTCCTGTGCCACTTAACACCTTCACCAGACATCCCCCCTACCCCTTTATCAGACATTTAACCCCTGGAGCCTGCCTGGGGACTGTCACTGTGCTTGCTGGGGCCTGGATCTGGGCTGGAGCAGGGTCTGCCACTGACTGAGAACCTTTAGTCATCATGAGGGCGGCCACGAGCATCAGGTGGTGTCACCAGAGACAGACCAGCACTCACCACCTTCACCGCATCCCGTCCTCTCTAATCCTCCTGTTCTTCTACAGGCATCTGCGAAAGTCTCCTCTTCTCTCCCGCCCCGCCCCGTGCTCACTGCTCACTCCGACCTCTGCTCTGCCTCCACACAGCAGTGACGTCAGGACTCTGCATAACATCACTGGTTGCTAGACGCCAGTCGGGGTGGCCCTAGCAACCAGTTTATGGTAAATTAATTTTCATTCTGAGACAGAGCCCAGAGGGGGGCCTTATTTTCGGGGCAATGCCTTATATCTCACTCAAAAGGAAAGCTGTAAGTACCCGTATTTTCCGGCGTATAAGACGACTTTTGAAACGAAAAAAGGTCAACCAAAAATCGGGGGCAAAAGACCAAAATAGCACAGAAATTACCTGCAGATCTTGAAGGCAAAGTAAGTCTTTTCTTTGAAGTGGGGGGTAGTCTTATACAGTGAAAATAGGCCTAAACCCATGTTTTAACTGTAAAATTAGGGGTCGTCTTATACGCTGGAAAATACGGTAGGTCTTATTATCGGAGGATGTTTTATTTTCAGGGAAACATGGTAGTAAGACATTACTGATGTAAAATTCAAAGCACAAAAACAGTTTTTTTTAACGTATAATTAATGGGTAGATCTATTTATGTAGACTAAGTAAAAAAACAATAGATAGAAAGGATACATAGCTCACACTTACTGTATTTTGTATCCCTAACATTTTATTTTATAAAATAATTGAAAACCTATTTGAAGAAATAATGACAAAAACTTCCCCCACCTGGTGAAAGAAATAGACTTACAAGTCCAGGAAGCACACAGAACCCCAAACAAAAGGAATCCAAAGAAGACCACATCAAGACACACATAATTAAAATGCCAAGGGCAAACGACAAAGAGAGAATCTTAAAAGCAGCAAGATAAAAACCATTAGTTACCTACAAGGGAGTACCCATACAATTTCCAGCTGATTTCTCAACAGAAACTATGCAGGCGAGAAGGGAGTGGCAAGAAATATTCAAAGTGATGAATAACAAGAACCTACAACCAAGATTAGTCTACCCAGCAAAGCTATCATTCAAAATTGAAGGTCAGATAAATAGCTTCACAGATAAGAAAAAGCTAAAAGAGTTCATCACTGCCAAACCAGTATTATGTGAAATGCTGAAAGGTATTCTTTAATAAGAAGAGGAAGAATTAGAAAAAGGTATAAAAATAAAAATTATGAACAAATACATATCTATTAACAAGTGAATCTAAAAATCAAGTGAATAAAAAATCTGATGAACAAAATAAACTGGTGAATATAATAAATCAGGGGCAAAGAAAGGGAGTGGACAGACAATTCTCAGGAGAAAGGAGTGTGGGGGGTGCAGTAAGAGACTGGATAGAAATTGTACACTGATGGATGAGGTCAGTGGGGGGGGGTAAGGGCACAGGTTGGAGTGGGAAATGGGTGGAGCAGAGCTATGGGGTGGGGAGGGGGGAGAGAAAGAGGAACAACTGTAATCTGAACAATAAAGATTTATTTAAAAATATAAAAGTAAATAAAAGTCAACATACTGCCCAACAGTATTATAAAGGGTGAAGTCTATAATAAAAAAATACCATATTTTCCGACGTATAAGATGACCCCCTAATTTTACAGTTAAAACATAGGTTTAGACCTATATTCACTGTATAAGACTACTCCCCCTTCCAAGGCAACACCAGTTCTTTTTTTAATAGACTGCCTCTCTGACTCTGGCCAATCTGAGCAGGCTTTTTTTCGTTTTAAAAGTTGTCTTATACGCCAGAAAATACAGTATTTCAAAAAAACAAAAACCCACTATATAAAACAGAAACAAAACCCAAAACCAAAGCCAATGTATCTTGGTAGGAGTCGGGATAATAGGCTCCTCTGTGGTGATGGGGCTTGGGGGCGGGGAATGTAGAGTCTGTAAAGGTGGACAGAGTGGGTCTTCCCTGGTGTTGGTAAAATGTCTTTTTTCTTGATTTTGGTTCCAGTTAAATAGGTGTTTTCAGATTATTAAAAAACATTAACTTTTCTGATTGTATGTTTATTAAAAAAAAAAAAAAAAAAAAAAGAGTACAAAATACTATTTGATAAAGAAAAAAAATTGCCTGACAGGTGTGGCTCAGTGGTTGAGTGCTGACTTATGAACCAGAAGGTCATGGTTCAATTCCTGATCAGAGCACATGCCTGGGTTATGAGCTCAATCCCAGTGTGGGACGTGCAGGAGGCAGCTGATCAATGCTTCTCTCTCATCATTGATGTTTCTTTCTTTCTCTCCCTCTTCTTTCCTCTCTGAAATTAATAATATATTTTTATAAAGAAAAAGAAGAAATGGAGGATCATATGACAAATATTTATTTGCTCTGGATTGATGAGTTCATAGGTGTTTTTATATTTTCTGTCCCTTGCTGTTTATTTGTAGTACTTCATTGTGAGAAAAGAGAGCACAGGAGCAAATCAAATTAAGAACTACAGGTAGGCCAAAACCGGTTTGGCTCAGCAGTAGAGCATCAGTCTGCGGACTGAAAGGTCCCAGGTTCGATTCTGGTCAAAGGCATGTATGTTGGTTGGGGGCACATCCTCGGTAGGGGGTGTGCAAGAGGCAACTGGTCGATGTTTCTCTCTCATCGATTTTTCTAGCTCTCTATCTCTCTCCCTTCCTCTCTGTAAAAAATCAATAAAATATATTTAAAAAAAAAACAAAACAAAAAACAACAGGTAGGAGATGGTACCAGTTGGCAATGATAGACAAGACATGAAGCCAGAGATCACAAAACCAATATATAGCTCCAGGCTCCTCACTCCTTACCCCAGGTCAGCGCTATCCTCTAGCACGTAAGTCTTCACAAGCTTTACATTGGCAATGTTTATGTTGGAAACAGATTTGGCTTCTGCCTGTAAGTCTTGTGCCTGGCCATGACTCTATGTCTATAATTCTATTTATCAACAATTAAAGAGCTTTGCAACCCTCCTATTACCTGCTGATATTTTAAAACATAGGTTTGAGGTGGTTGAAAGAATAACAATGCTTCTTTTCTGCCTTTCAGACTTTCCCAGGAAAGGGACATGAGACCACACCAAGCCTCCCTGAGAGATAGTATTTTCTGCGTGGCACCAGGATAACATCAAAGCTCTTCAGTGAGGGTCTGGCGACCTCCCCCTCTTTGGCCCTCAAAATAACAGAGTAAGTCAAGTTCAACACTGTTAATGGGTAATCTGTACTCACTTTCTCTGCCCTTGTGAAAACAGGCCGAGTTTTATTTGGGAAAGCCAGTGATGGTGTGTTTGATTTTAAACATACCGAGTGTTTGAAAACTCTCTCAGATAATGAAACCTCAAACAGTGTGGGAGATGTATCAGCAAAGTCCAAGAGTACTCATCTCACCCAGAGTAAATAAAAGAGAGAACAAAATGCCCTTTGTAGTGCACTGTGTGCCCTGTATGTGTGCAGTGCCTGTGCCACTGCCCTCACTTTAATGCTCAGATGATCCCAAGGCATTTAATCCAAGTCACTTCAGCACATCACACTTGATTGCAGAATTTAAAGAAGACAAAGAATACTGTGAAATGTGACAGACACCTTGGGACCTCAACTTATGGTATAAAGATAGATGAGAAAAGCCTCCTAGATTTAACTCCTATGTATCTTGAAACTAAAGCAATGAGATAACGATATGTCTCGTGGACATTTCTGTCAGAGAGAAGTGGAGCAGCCCAAACATCTTTAGTTCCAAGGTTCAGCATGATCCTGAGAGCCTCTTAATATTTGCTGCCCCCTGTAGTTTGCTCTTGTAAAAATTTTATTTATATTAAAAAAAAAAATCAAGAGAGCTATTTAAAACTTCAGTTGTTCTTCTAAATCCTAAGCACTTGTGGAATTTTATTCCCTCTCTCTTTTCAGTCCAAATCCACAAATCAGAGTAATGACATGGGGCAAGTAAGGGGAAAACTGCTCTGAAAAGTCACGATTTCATTTGAGAGAATAAACTGGGGGACATGATGGCCTTTAAAACATGCAGATTGTATTATATGGAGAAAGCTGCTCAAATAAATCCGATTTTCTTTCAAAAGGCAAAGGAAGCATCTGTTTATTAAACTACTTTCTCAATTTCCCATTGCCTTCAGAATCAGTTGTGGGACATGATTGCCTTTGTCTCTAAGCACAATAGCTTCTAATAACATTATGCTTAAAATAATATGGTAGAAAAGTACACGCTTGTGGTTTGTTCATTTGCTGAAACTAATATAGATGGCAGGAATTTTTCTCAAGCTTAAAATAGCACATGGAACACTAGGAATGCAACACTGGCCCAGTGATGAATGAAATTTCATTATAAAGAATCACAATCTAATATCTAACTTTAGTAAAAAAAAAAAAAAAAAAAAAAATCTAGAACTAGTTATCACCAGGCACAAATGCTAGGGAAAAAGTTAATAAAACTGTTTATTCTACAGTAGATTAATGAAGAGGCATAGATAATCCTAAAATAATGTCATTCCCATAGTCTGTGTGACTTGAAAAATTTTAGATTTAATTTCATGATTCAATTGGCCTGTGTATATGTAACTCCCAGAAAGATTATGGAAAGTTACTATTAATTTGTACAGTGTTAAAGTTTCCCTCAGTACACAAAACACCTCCTTTAGTTCTTTAAAATCTATATTATGGATTCAGATTTTTTAAAATCACAAATGGATCAAGAAATTAATACAGTTGACCCTTGAACAATGAGGGGACTGAGAGTGCTGACTCCCTTCCCATGCAGTTCAAAATCCATACATTGACTCCCCCCAAACTTAATTACTGATAGCCTACTGTTGGCCAGAAGACTTACCAACAATATAAAGAGTCAATTAATACTTTTTTGTATGGAATATGCATTATATACTGTATTTTGCAATAAAGTAAGTTACAGAAAAGAAAGTGTTATTAAGAAAATCATGAAGAAGAGAAAATAGATTTATAGCACTGAAAATACTGATTTTTAAAAAATGCACATATAAGTGGACTTATGCAGTTCTAACTCATGTTATTCAAGGGTCAAGTATAATTTCAATCAAATTGGTAAAAGCAAGGGGACAGCTATGGTAATTTTGAGATCAAAAACATGTTAGCTCCAATTTTATGGAGTTAACTAAAGAGAAATGCCAAATTAAAAAAAAACAACAAAAAACAACAAAGGAAAGGTTTTAAATAGAATTATATAATATACATAAAATCCTGTTAAATGTATGATGATAAATCATATTTGCTGATAGTCTTTTTTATTGTGAAGCTTAATTTTGTTACGAAACTCTGACAATATAATCGTATTATTTCACTTGGCTGAGGTAGAAACAGCGAATAAAATCCACCAATCAAGAGCTGTTTGTTAAATGTTCTTGGGCTCCCTGCTGTGGAGGACATACAGGAAGCATTTGACCTGAACACTCCTCTTAGGGTGCCTGAGGACTGGCTAACAGGCAAACGAGTGAAAAGACGTACGTATTTGAGATATTTACCAAAGAGAGGTACCTTTTTCTTAGAATGTTTATGAACACACAGTCTGAGCTTGGCTGCAATTTAAATGGGAGGAAAACATACAGCCTGAAGGGAGTGGAAAGGACTTCTGGGGTTTGGAATATGAAGTAAAACTTTGAGAGGAGCTGTCACACACCAATGGTGTCTGCTCTAAAAGCAGACACGGAAGACATACAAACAGATTTGTACCTGACACTGAAGGTTTCTGACATTCCCAAAGGGGACCTTGGTAAAGAGCTACACTGTTCTAGTAAAGCAACACAGATAGACACTTTTTGGTGAGGCACACTTCAAGGTGGACCCCAAACTCAGCTGCTAGCTGTACAATGCTTACATAGGCCCCTGATGAAAGGTCCTGGCCAAGAAGGAAGGAGTCTGCTATAGGAGCCTGGCAGACATTTTGGCGCCTTCAGAGGGTGGACATAGACACTACTGGAGAGAATGCTGAGCGAGATGACAGCATATTTGATTCTATCCCCGTCACTTTCTTCCTGTGTGAAGTTCAAGCTGAGCCCCAAACTGCTCTAGTCCTCAAATTCTTTATTTACCAACTAGGGATTAGTAACAGCTCTTCTGTCTATATCATGCAACTGCTGGAAACTGATCATTGTCAACAACCTTCATTGCTCTGAAAGGTCAGAGCTAGTTCCTCACTGTTGAGTTGAAACATTGTTAGCTGAAGCAGTCTCTGCCTGTTGTCTTACGTAAATTTCTGTTATTGGAGTGTCCTGCCTGAGGGCTATGGGTGTTTTCCCATAGTCTCAATAAAAGGGATAGGTAGGCCAGCGCAGAGAGGAGTCCTCCCACTAAAGGTGGGCTCCCGCCTGGCCCCCAATATAACCAAATTAATACTTTTTTTAGGCTCTTTTCATTTGTGTGCGGCCTTCTCCAGAACCCGAACCCTGAACAAGGACCCTGAACCATGCAGGACGTGGAAAGGGGCTCTCACATGCAACCATGGTCAAAAGCAAATGAGATAGTGTAGGCAAAACATTGTATAAACTATAAAACGCTATATAAATTAGGCACTGATTGTGTTCAAGCGTGTGATCAACATCTATGACACGGTGCCTCTGATTAGTTGGCTGAAACATGTCTGTCAAAAGCCCTCTCCCAATCTTCTCCATTAACCCACATCCATGTCTAACTTCCCTGCACTACACCCACTCTTTTCAGGGAGCTCTCCAGCCTTATCCATTGTCACACTTACTTCCCATGCCTTCTACTCGTATGCCTGATCTCTGCCACATTTTCCATGTTAACTCGCGTTTTTCTCCTACATAGGGATGTTATAAACAACCGAAGGAAAAAGGAGCTTGTTTTTACTTTTAAAATAACACCAGAAGCAAAGAGTTAGAAATAGAGGGAAGTTGAGAGCCACCGAAGGTTCAGAGAGAGTGACAGAAAAAAATCCTAAGTGAAGACTGACCTCATCACAGGATTCCTGGAAGTTCTAAAAAAATAATTATTAAATTATTAATTATTTAAAATGAAGATGGCAATTTAGATCTCCATTGTGCATGGCATGGGCTGAGTTGAATAACTGGAAAACAAACAAGTTAATAAATGTTACATTACACTGTACATTTATAGAATGGTATTAAAAAAATAGTGAGGTTGGGTAAGCTTACATTTTCCACACCAAATTAACTAATTGAATTTCCAATCTATATGAATTGGGTAAGGATAAAATCTTGATGGACTTTTTTTTTTTTTTTCAATTCTCAGAAATAGCCACCTTATCTTTTTCCCCCCACTGATGACATATATTATTCAATTATTGATAATCCTGGCATAATGATGCAGGATGCAGAACATCCCGCATATTATTAGCTAGACAAGCTATCTGTGAAGGGCCACTGCAAATGGAGAAATAATGTGCCATATTTTTTTTTTCATATTTTACTTTTTAACAAGATACATTTGTTTTATGTATAAGAAGGCTACCTTTTCATGTTTCAATCGCTCATTGAAAAAAAAAGCAAAATATAATTCAGAAGAAAAATGGGCAATAATGCAATACAAACAGGGTGCTTAATTTCGCTTCATAAAAATTCATTGTTTTGGATTATCTGCATCAGTGATCCACCCATCAAATGTCTCCCTCCATCAACTCCTGTATCGAAACATTTTTTCCCCTCTCTCTCTTTAAAGCTGCTGCCTTCTAGTACAGAGCTAATGGAGACATAGGTAAGATGAAAAGATTATTAGTATATCTGCTGAGCGGGGTTTATAAAATTATCTAGCATATACTTAAAAGAGGTCAAACCCAGGAGCACCAAATTACCATTCTGAACCTGGATCCATCTTTTAACTTATATCACTTTAAAACTAAAGGTAGCAGGCTCTCTTGAGCGAAAGCAAGTTGAACATAGACTGACTCTGGGTTTCTGTCATTTCGAAATGGACAGTCCTCTCACACTTGAACTCAAGCAGTCACACAATTCAAGACAATGGAATTGTTTCTGCAGTTTGGCAGAATGGAGATCAGCACCCAGCCTCCCCCAACCCCCCAACTTCCCCTCCTCACCCCCACCCCCCCCCCCCACACACACACATACACACAGGCACACCTCTGACTAGGAGAGACAGGAACAGCAGCTGACACTGAGATGGTGGCATGGAGGGCTCAAGGCAGAAATTTGCTGGGAAAGTGCTTTCTTTGCAAAACAGATTGTTTCCATTTCTACTCTCCCCATCCTGCAAGTGGTGGCTGCTTCGTGGCCAGAAGCAGTTGTGGGGAGGCTGCGGAGGGTGGTTTAGAGGAAACAGCCTGTGTTTAGACTGGAGTAGAAGCTTGGAACCCACAAAAGTGAGCATTTCTCCTTTCACTAGCATTTGCGATGTGTCACCGTGGGGGTTGAGAAATCTCACCCAGATGCTGGTGGGTGCATGTTTTAGGTGTCCTTGTGGGTGAGGATTTGGCAGGCAGCGGGGTGCCTTAGACAACCAAATGGGAGAAGTTCATCCATTAAAGTCTAGACATTTAAAGAGCAGTAAGTGCTTGTTAAAGTTTTTAGGATGGGAGCAAACAGAGGATTTGGAAACATGAATCTTCCTGAAGAAAACAAATCCAAGTTATTCCAAGTACACTTGGACATGCCTTTCTTTTTGGGTGTATTCTGCTATTCTTTGAAATATTTTACCAAGATTTTTGGGGTATGTAGGCATGTATAAAAACATTACTAACCATGGTGGTATACTGTTCTACTCACCAATCGGTTATCTCGAACACAGAGAGTGGACTTATGTGACAGAACTAGTCAAGTCATTTGTTCAGAATGTC